CTTAAAGAAAAACACCTTTTGAAATTAGAAAGAATTACGTTTAAAATAAAATATATTTTTCAGTCTCAGAAAACAAATATAAAAAAAATAAAGATAATGTAGAAAGCCAATAAAAAAAAAATTTCCTACAATTTTGTTTTGTTGACATCATTTTAAATTACAAGTTCATTGTTCGACGAATACAAACCTTAATAAGAACTAGTTAATTTTTTTCAACGAAATATACTGTTAGAAAGATCAATCTACTGTTAAAATAAAAATTTCTATATAATGTAAAATAAAAAAGAATATGGGTAAAGAAAAGATTTTTTGTAAATCGATTTTCAAAAATCGAAAAAAACTACAAAAAAAATATTAGAAAATTAGAGATAGTAAAAAAATTTTTCTACTAGTGACCTAAAATCTAGGTCATGTCTAAAATGAGTTATACCCAAAATCCAAAAATTTTAATTTAGATTGCTATTAATTTTTTTTGCCGAGTTTAAAAAAAAAAAAATTACATTTTCATGAAGTATCCGATTTTTAGGGATTCCTATTTTAATGTAACATTTACTACTTAAAAAAGTAAAAAACTAATCTTAATTTAAAACTTAAAAACAAAACTGGATGACCAATTTTTTTTAGAGCAACAAAAGTTCTGTTGAATTAAAATTGATCGCAGAAATTAAGATATCTGAATAACTACATATACAGCCAAAAATTTTAGCTGGAGAAATGTACCTTGTTTGGGAGTATCATGTTGTGATTCATTGGCCAAGCGATGGTCAGTAGTAATTTTGTATCTTATTTAATTTACGAAAATCTACTTAAGTTGTGGAACAATAGAAATTTTTTTTTGAAACTGGTAACATTCAGGTATTAGGAATTTGACGTCTACTAACCCAGAAATCAAGACATCAATAAAATTAAGTCTTTTTTTTTTCATAAAAATTTTTGTTTCCAATTAACGTACCATTGTACTTACGTAAACCACCAATCATTTAAATAATAATAAATGAAATCTCAATTGCAACTCCCACACAGCTCCTAAAAAAGACTGCCAAGATACTCATCGTGCGCCACCCATTCGAGCGGCTGCTGAGCGCGTACCGCGACAAACTGGAAAACTCTGTGGCTGGCCGTGAGCACGGCTCCCTGCACTTTTACAAGAAATACGGCAGCTCGATAGTCCGAAAGTACCACGGTACGGGCAGAAATCTGGTGGTGAGGATCTCACCCCTTCCTTTTCCCTTCAATGGAAATGAAAACATGTTTCAGACGACAGTCAACCCAAGCCCCGTAGTGACCAAGTGATCCGAAAACTGGGTGTGCCCGAACCAGCGGGAATCGAGCCGACTTGGCGCGAATTCGTCGATTACCTGATCAACACCGACCTTTCGAGCTACGCCGACGACCACTGGGCCCCGTACTACCTCTACTGCACGCCCTGCCTCGTCGATTACGACCTTATCGCGAAGGTGAGTCTTTTTTCTTCTCTTCCCGTGAGCTTGCAAGCTCTCACCTACGTTATTTATTTCACAAGTGCTGAATCACCCCGAGTCGCGCAGCTGGCAGAGGAGGAAAAAAAAAATACATATATATATATCCACCTCCAGCCATGTACTAGTCACAATAGCACTGATGTATAGAACTTGATAAACGCGTCGAGAACGATCGGCTGACGTACGAGCTAACGCGGGGGTGATCACCCTTTTGGTCGCGTGTGCCAGCATTATTCAACCTCTACGTAGATACGAGCCTCGGGATATATATTTTGCCTTGGATCGGTATAAGTAAATGTCGTTTTTGCTCGCAGGTCGAGACTTTGGGCCGCGACCAGGCGTTTGCCATCCAACAATTGGGCCTCGCGGATTCGATAGAGCCCCGCTGGAGGCACAGCAGCAGCAACAGCGCCGGGGTGGACCCAGCGGCCGTTTACTTCAGCCAGTTGGACAAAGAACGTGTACGAAAACTCCACAACAAGTTCAGGCTGGACCTCGAACTCTTCGGTTACTCGGCTGAGCCCTATTACGAGCTAGCCACTGCAACTGAGTAGTTGATGGATACGCCGGTGGGTGTTGCTTTTGCGATGGTGTGCACGTGTAACAGTGACTTTTAATAGAAGGGTTGGATGCCCTGCACAGTAAGAGAGAAGTATAATTACTGTAAACTGCGTGGCATTCGGCCGTAAAAAGACTTTTTGTAAACGTTTCACGTGCCGATTTTTATCACTCAGATCGAGCAGTAACTTTTACCGTAAGTAACTTTTGATGACGAAACGAAATCAGTTTACAGCGCCATCACTGTAATTTTTATTAATTTATTCGTCTCGGTGTACCCAAGTACTTTAAAATTAAAATAATTTGACGTTGATTAAAGAAAGCGTACCACACGTGTCAAAAAATGTTTTTTTTTTGTTTCCTATCTTAGACGATTAGATGATATTGGCATCGGTAATGATTAATAGGCTTGCAGATGTATGGTTGACTTTCAGTAAAGCGCACTTGTATTTTGTAGGAGGGTTAAAAAAAAAGAAACATTTATGACCTGCTCGAGTACTTTGACGCTGTAAAGTGGAATCCATTGCGTAATCGATGACAAACTAAAACTACATGCTTACAATTAGACGAAGTGAAGCGAGAATTATCAATGAAAAAAGATGAAATAAGTGCGTGGCGCTTGATCGCCTCGAATCTGCACACAATAGGCCATTGAACTAGCAAAAACTATAACCTAATACACACGTGAAAAGCGAAGCGCGAAAATTTTAATGGAGAAAAGAGAGAGAAAGGTTCCACGTGTATGTGAGCAACTCATTGCGCGTTTATTCTTGGTACTTTTCAAGTAAGAAAGAGCGCGTGCTGGGAATCGATCGTCATACGACCCACTTAGCAGAGTGAGTTTACACGCACGCGATGGAGAAGAAAGAGAGAGAGAATGTCTTATCGCAGCCGGCAGTCGGCACTTTGACCGGCTGATCGGCACTGTGCCTATACTGTGTATAGCAGTACTCGAGTTACTGGAAAGCTAACGTATATATAGCTTCACTGAGCGTGTAAACACACTTTTTTTTTAGAGAATTTTGTTTGTTTGATACATTGATTATTCTAAGACTCTTATTGTATAATCAAACCATTATCCAAAAGGTAATACGCGCTAAAAGTGGCTGCAGGTAAAATATCTGTAAGTGTATGATCTCGTGCTATAAACGATAATGATAATGAAAGGGAGGGTGGACAATTTTTTGTAAGCAAAATCTACAATTTTAGCTATGGAAATGGCGTTGATTCGTGGCTTTATTTCGAAAGCTGCTGCTACAATGAATACTCGTTGGGTTCTTAAATTTTACGCAAGTGGAATTCTTTCAAAAATTTTGAGCTGGCTAGAATGATACTAAAGGTTTGCTGCTGTGTTACTCTATTTTTAAAATGCCACGAGATGATGCTTTGATGACTGTTTCAATTTTTTATTGATAATTCTTTGTGTATAAAATACTACAATAAGTCTTACAACGATGAGGCTGTGTACATATCTCATAGCGCCTTGTGAAAGTTAATTTTCAAGGTATTAACAGGGTATTTTTACCTTATGAAGTACCGTAAATAGTTTAAATAAATTAGAAGCTAATGTTTAAATGCGGTAGGCTTAAGAAACATAATATCACAGATATTGATATTTACTCGAATTATAAGTCACTTTACGACATGAAAATTTCTTCTTATCAATGCTCGAATTGCAATATATTATGGCATAAAAGAAGTTACTATTTTTATTAAAGTAGCTTCAATAAGAACACATGATTTTATTTACCATCAAAAACAAAAAAAGAACTCTGACCTATCAGTAGAAATTTCAAGAGACAATAAGAGAAGGTTATTGTTCGATCGACTCGAGTTTCTTGTAAATAAGTTTACTCGTGTACCCCAATAATAGCTTGACTAATCGAATTACTAAATGCTTAATGTGACAAGCAAAAAACGTTGTAAGAGTCAAGTGGATAATTAAACGAACGATAAATTATACATGGACAAACAAACAAAAATGTTGTTAAGACAAAATAATGGACTCAAAAACTCCAGTTATACTAAACTCACCTTATTGTGAAAATCCTTGAGCATCTCGTCGTCTACAAAATCCAGTTCCTCCCAGCTCTGTTCCTTGTGCTTCCACTCACTATCGCTGCTACTATCGGATGATCTTTCTTTGGCATCGAGAGCAGATTTCTCGACGTCCTCGGCTATCACACCTTGCTGGGAACCCTCTCTATCAGTATCAGCCAACAACAATGTCAAATTTTCACTTTCCACCACCTTTTCACTTTCCACCAACTTGTTTGAGTCAACTTCTAACTCTTCTGATATCTTGTCGTTGCCACCTTCGTTTGCACCATTCCCGAATATGGTCGACTTCTCGACCTCACAGTCATCAAATTTGTTTAAATCATTGTTTTTTGCGGTAATCACATGATCGGACCCTTGTTGCTCCAAGGAAATTGTATTGTCCTCTAAAGAAGTTCGTCTACTTCGGTCCTTCAGTGGACTTGCCAACTCCATAAGAATGTAATTCCTCTCCTGACGGGGAAACACTTCAAAGCCAGGAGTCCTGGCTGATTGGCTACGTCGTCGATCCTTACCTGTGCATATATTAAAATAACAATTAAGAAAAGTGTTTCTTCATCAACTCCACGGCTATAGAATGCCTTGTAACAATGACAATAGTAGTAACGTACCTTGATAATTCGCATCCTCCTTGTCATCCCAATCGAACTGTTCAGGAGCTGATCTAGTGCGATAGACTACGCGCATCATATTCTCGTGATCTTTCTTCATTTTATCCTGGAAGCTTGCGTCGCTTCTATCCCCAAACACACTGTCGATCGTTTTATCCTCTTCTGCTGAACAGATGTCCCCCAGCAGAGATGGACTAGGACTTTTCGATCTCACTTCGGACGATGAATCGATCTCTAATCTTGGTGAGCTACCAACACTCGATTCCTCGCAAACACGGAACGAAGGTTCCTCGGGTAGGATGTCATTCATCTCCTCGATGACGATTCTTGGAGACGTCATGGAATCCCGACGAGATATGTGTGGCCTGTAGATAGCCAACGGAATATCAAATCCTCGCTTACCAGGACTGTAACGGATGAAAATAAAAAAAATTATCATTAATTGTGGCTTTCCAAACATTACTCCTTCTCGGCAAACCCAACTAGCCTATGGATCTCTGTATTTTGCGTCAAAATACTCTTCTTTGGACTAAGGTCAGATCGATGAGTGTGTGGTTCACGACGGGGACTACTCGATGCCGATCGTTTCTGCATCCGTAGCCGTTGCAACTGACGACTTGGAGGAGTCACATTAGGCTGCGACGAGGATCTAGGACGGCTTGGCATTCTGGTTGCCGGCGACACTGGTAAAGGTATCCTCGTACGTGATGGTGCCACGGGTAACAACTGTTGATGGGACAGGGGTGATGGAACCTGCTGTCGATTTACCTCGATGCTCATCACCGATTCGGCGTCTTCACTGTCTGGTGTTCGTAGCTTCACAATCTCGCCACCAAAATGGACTCGTCTGATAACATAACAAAGCAAACTTTTACGAAAAAGTACAGGGTTACTTACCAGTCGACTGGTGAAATTTTTACTTTGGCGTCTTCCGTCGCTCCTCGGGAGAAACGTCCTCTTCAGCTGTTTCCAGCTCAACTGTTGGTTTCCCCTCACCTATGTCTTTGCCCATGTTGAAATCGATTTCTTGGATGTCCGGCTTTTTGGCCCGTTCTTCAAGTATGGTCATGGTGATTGCAGTTTCCTCGTCAAACTTGATCTCAGTCTCGAGAACAACACGCGCCGACGAGGATACCGAAGCACTCGAGCTCGCCCTCACATTATCTTCGTCCTCCTCAGCGATGCCCGAAGTATCCGAGTCCTCGCTATCCCAGCTCTTATCCACAGGCACGACCTCTTTTATCGAATCCTCGAACGAATCCTTGCGTTGAAGGGACTTTACTCCACTGGCAGCCTTAGACTACACAGTTACGTTAAATAAATTTAACCATTGCTATCGAAGAATCTTCTAAACAACGATGACTTAAACAAGCAACCATTCAAACTTACTTTTATCCTGTTTCTTTTTGCGGAAGAACTTCTCTCGATCCCATAGATCTCGCAGAGCAGCTCAAAGTTCCGCTTCATGCTCTCATCCACCTCGGTCAAGTACTTTCCAAACTCTTCCTCTCCCACAGTGTCCCGTATCTTCGCCAAAGATTTCAGAGCCGCCTCCTGGTGTACAACCTGGACAAGTCTCATGGCCAAGGCCTGGGTAGCCTCGCGCACCACTAAACTGGCGGACGGTGCTCTTGAACGGGATGGAAATAGTAGTAGAGGTGTTGCCAGGATTACACCTGTCGTCACGTTTGTCTGGTAGTCATCGAGGACGTTTGTGGGGTTTATACTATCTCTTAGGATCTAACAATAAATAAAGAAGATTTTACTATTGTCACTGTAATAGACCTGTACTTTTTTTTCTTTTTTTAGAAAAGTAAGTGCTGATAAATGTAACTATGCTGCAAAGGTTTCAAAAAGTCCACGAAACGAAAAAAACTCAAGTCACGCATGATGCCTTTCTATGAGAATAAGTGAATCCTCACCTTTCTGGTCATTTCATCCCTCCTGGAAGAATGAAGCAGATATATCCTAAGAGCATCCAAGGATCCCTTTCTTACAGCAGGTGCTGGATGGCCCAGGTTCTCAACGAGATCGGGAAGAACGAGACTTGCTGCCCAGTCGATGTTTTCAGCTCTGAAGGTTGGTAGCAAGTCAACAAGTACGCGTAGCGCGTGCTGTCTTACCTCCCACTCAGGGTCACGTAGCCGCTCCAGGATTTCGTCGAAGACTGCCTCGACGTTTGTATCCTTTGGGAATTTTTTGGTTCGCACCTATTGTGGGTATTACACGTTTTATTTTCTCATGACCACCATTGTAGTGGATACAAAGTTTTGAATGTATATCTGTTTCAAAATATTTCATGAATTTAAAATTAAAAATCTGTACGGTGATTTTAAACAGATGTTAATGGTAAATTTACACTTGAAATCTGCATGGAGGATTATCGAGTTTTTAAAACCGATAATAGATAAAACGCGAATCATTTGACAACGCTCGGTGCTATTTATGTGACATCCGAATTGGCTATCACAGTTTTTAGTATCAACTGTATAAAAATTCAAACCAAAATATTTTTTATTTTATATTACACTATCTATCATGGTGTTTTTTTAATTTATAAATTCAGAGTTTAAGAAACCAGGAAAGAAAAATCTCAGGAACCGAACGAAACAAAATAAGGGCTATTGTTTCAGAGAATCAAGTTACTCACCGTAAGTATTTTACTTTTAAATTTAGCGAACAAATAGTAATTTTTTTAAAATTATAATCGTAACAGTGCCCTAAGAACGATTGAATTGAAAAAAATCGTAGTGAAAATTTCCGTATGAATTTTGATATGAAAATCATCTGAAATCCATATGTGAATTTTGTATCTACAAATGTATGCATTAGATATAATTTTAGCTAGTATAAGCAGTATTGCATTAATCAACATTATCCTAGGAAAAAATGGTCAACTCACAACGTATTCCCAAAGTGGCGTGAGCTGAACTCCGGAGTGGGACACCGAGCCACGCCGTTGCGTCATTGGCGTGGATGGTGGAAACCGATGGGAAAGTCGCAACGGTTTGGACGGCGGTCGATTAAAGTCAACAAAAAGTCGATCGTCCAGTAGGGGCACCGAGTCTTGCTGGGGCTGAATGGGCCCCAGCTCCGTCGAGCCCGTCATGGATGCGGCGGTGATGCTATTGGACAGGGGCCCGCTGCATCCGGGCATATCTCACTAAGGCATTGCATAGTCGGGTACTCTCGGCTCTTCTGTTTTCATTTGTTTTTTTGGCTTTTCAAGGCCCGGATCGCTTGAACTCGTTTCCTCCATTTTTATCTTAAAAGGGGATTGTTTTTTTAAATAGTTGTTATAGGCTTTCCAATGTAGATATACATGATATTCCACCGTAACTGACTAAAAATGACTTTTAAAATGGTTTTTAAAAAAATTTGTTGGCAAAACTGTTTTTCATAATATTTCTACCTCCAGGAGCACCCACAATATTTTAAATTGTTACATTTTACTTCAGTGCGTGCATACGAGTTAGGGACATCGTCTGAGCAGTAATCACCCATTTAGCTTTATCACTCGTATAAATATTCACGAAAAAATCTAGTTTTTTTTGTGGTAATATTACTTTTAATGGTACGTGTGCTCTGAAATTTTTTGATATTTAAATTCTTTGTTAAGTTATCGTTTATATCGATCCATTGCGAATGCAATATCGAAGATTTGAAGCAGAACGCAATGGTATAAATAATTTTAACATAAAATTATACCCCAAGTGCATCATATTATATTCTAAATAAAGTGAACCAATATTTTTTAATAATTTTATCCAGCCTACCAAAACTTGTGTTTGTTACATTAATTGTTGCCATCTTGCCCCATCACATTTGGACATGATAAACTATCCTCGGGGGTTGCATGACCTTACCGGCTTTTTATTTTATATTCAGCTATAGTGGAGTTTCAAAAGGAACAGACGAATACTGAAATCATCATGGTGGTGCTTAGCTATATAAGGTTGGTAAAAATGGACAGATACAGAAATAGTTGGCTATTCTCGGAAAATTTAAAGCACAGCAAAAAATGATTGATTTGACTCCAATGACAAACGACTGCTCTCTATGGTATAGAATGTAACATCCCTTTGTTAGTCCATCGGTAATACCAAAACGATAAAAAAACATTTGAGAACATAATTTAGAAAATGCCATTCCGAAAAATTATATAGTCGTAACCATGACCAGAAAACTAAATTTTTTTTTCAGCGGTTGATTGTCGTTATACTACAACTGTGTAGTTATTACATGATTATATGTTGTTATTTATTATATTACATTGCAAAATAATTAAAAACATTTAAATTTCACGTTTTAAAAGTTGAAGGATCAACATTATTTCGTATAGTCTGAACATGTGCAATATCATGTACATATAAAAACTATATATAGATCATATAAATATCACACGTGGACGTATTTCTACGTCACAGGTATACAATGCAGCCATCAGGGAAGATACTGCAATTATAAGTATATACCCACTTCCGAAGGCATTGCACAACGATGACGTCCCCACGTGCACTGTCAAGGTGAATCCCCTATGATTATTACACCCGTATGTCGCTATATCCTCAGCTGATATAATTTTACAGTTTTGTTACGGTATTGTTACGGGATTATTTTACCTATTAGTACACGAGAAGTTTCATAGAAAAATTTATAGTGGTGTTTTGGTTTGAAAAATAAGTTAAATCAAGTTTATTGTGTCTCTCGGATCTGATGTTAACTTTAACTTTTTTCAACAGAAACTGATCAGAAAATAAAAATATAAAAAGTAAAAAGACTAAAAAGAGCTTTGAAATAAAACCTTTGAAGTAGGAAATATTATAAGCCGGATCAAAATTTACGTACTATTGTAGCTGATCTATCAAATTTAGTAAGATAAAATTAGTATTGCTTGTAATTTATGTGATAAATATACTGTTTCTCGATTGAAGTGATTCCCTCCACATAAAACTTGATTTTACAATATCACAAAACAGACGTAAAATTTATCATTTCAGTTTAAAAACAAAAACAAGCTTGTATACTTGTAAAATTTCTGTCTTTCTATTTTACAATAGAGCAATTAAATTGTTTTTTTAGAGGAGAGAGATTTATTAAGGATGAAACTTTAGTATTACGTAACTTACCAACAACAGTTTTGGTTCGTTTTTATAGAAATTTGTTCAAAGTGGACGTTAAAAAAAAATTTTTTTTTTTTAAACTTATCAAACCCCTGTCAATAAACAAAGATACTTAAAAAAATGTGAAAAGACGACTAGTTAATCCCATTCTTATCTACATAAAATCAACACGTGATAGCACTTTTAACAACAAAATATTTTTTTTTAACGTTTACCTACTGTTTTATATGTTAAGCCCCTGAATTATGTGTGAAGTATGCAGAAATAAGTAACGCAAGTACAAAAAAATCTGCTTTTCGAGAATTTCCAATGTACTTTTACTGGTTGAAAATATCTTCGGTGAACCAAAGATTAACTTGTTTTGAAATGAAGCTTCTGAGAAACGTTCTTGTATGTTTTAATGACGATTTGGAAAAAACGAAAAAAAAATGGTTTGATATTATTCACGTGTAATGTATATGAAAATAATCAGAAACTCTAAATTAGGATTGTAATTTCCTTTCCCTTGAAGCGTTTGTCGTCAAGCTCATTGATACTTGTCCGTTGAAACTACAAATATGCTTTGACACACAATTATCTGACGATCGATGATAACCAGCGCTGCCTTTCATCAATGCCATAAAAAATGCTTGTGAATTAAAAATCGATGTAATCCACACTGCATATGCGAATTTGTTGAAAACATACTTGTTTAGTGATGGAAAAAAATCACTAATTACACTTACACACCTGTTTAGCAACAATGATTCGTAAAAAAACTTATGTAAATGCAAAAAAAAAAAATAATCATTATTAAAAAAAACTCTCAACTGCAGTTGAATTCCAACGATCCCTTAGAGGAATCACTCGATCTCAAGCGTGTAAGTAACGTTGTAACGAGAATTTTGCACGATAGGTATGTCCAGCACGACGTGCCCTTCTTTTCTTTCTCGCTTACATCTCAAGCTCCAACAGCACAGGCGAGGAAGAATTTTATCCGTAAAAATAAAGAAAACACAGCAGCGGTAGTTTAAATCTAAAAAAAGGTTGCGCTGTACGTGTATATATACATGCGTCTACCAACAATAGAGTTACGTGTGTGTGTGTATACACTCGGAAACGGAAAGTTTATCGTTGGATCTCGCGTCACGAACGTCGCTTCGTATGAAAAAAAAAAAGGGGGGAAAGAGAGAGAGGAAGAAAACGACCGAGCCGGCGTCCCAAAAGTGGCACACACGATAGCCACGAATTGCATGATACAAAGAAATCGTGCGTGTGCCTATGAAATTGCCTATTGGGAGCCGTTTTTTACCTGAAAATATGACCATGGGGTGGTCTTGGAATCTTTTATTAGAAGACTATGATTTTTAACGCAGGCTGCAGTGGAAAGTATGTTGGAAAATATGATAAACGGGGGTAACAAACATTACACGTGTGGTTTGATGGTCTAGAAGCTTTTCTCATGGAATAAAAGACGATCAAACAGAAAAGATGGTCCGAATAAATTCATTAGTGGCATCAACTTTCAATATTAACTGTACGTCAATTGTTGAAATTTCAGAATTTTTACTTTTTCAGTGATTAGTTTGCAATGTTAACTGCTGTGGTGGGATTTTCGGAAAGCGAGTGTCAACGTTATTTTTTTGACGTATTTTCCAATATAAGGTGTCAATGAGATTCCATTGTAGTTGAATTTCCACTGACAAAGGTGAAAAATTCTGGTTTCGCAATGGGTGGCTCTAATACCTTACCTAAATAATATTGAAATCTCTGCAACTACTACTGACAAATTATGATTCCAGTCTATTAACATATATACTTCGTCCCACTAGCGTCAGACTGTTAATATTCCCCAACGATTATCTAGCTATGCGAAACGCGCATAAAAATACCTACCAGTAAACATACGACACCTGCGATAAGAAAAAAGGTAGTCCTATGTAAATACGGACAAAGTTACATACGATACGTAGGTACAGACTTCCAAGGAGCGTATAGAGCGGAGGTCTCCTCCAGTTTCGATCGTCACTTCCAAGTCAAGTAGTAAAAGCCGACACGTGTCAGACGGACAGACCGACTTGGCATGTACGTTCGGTGAGTTCTCAAGTTTGAAGAATTTTTCGGAAAACTTTTAAAAGTCATGTGTTTACTCGGTTCAATGTTTCGCCACTGAACATTTTGTTTGCTCAAGATATTCGTCTGTTTAATATTTTACTGCCAACAACAAGAGTATCCTCATTCCGGAAAATGGGTTTCGATGAAACTTAGTTGAAAGATGTTTTTCGGCATCTAACAGTAAAACAAAAGTAATTGTCTGTCAAAAATGCTTCATCCCTAAATATATTTTCTGAGATCTTTCCGTAAGTAAGTACGTTTTAAGAACTGGGGTACGATAAAATAACAGTTTATTAAATAGCTTAAATCGGTATTTTGTAACATTTTTTAACAAATAATCGTGAAGTTTCCGTTACTTTGCGGGAAAACCTTGATTTTTCAAAACATTTTCGTCAAACGTCTGATTGATATTTTTCACGTCACTTCATGTAATTTGATGCAACTACAAGGAAAACTTAGATTCTATAGTGTACACCTCACTAAAAAAACGAAATCACTCTAATCTCTAATGAGAAAAAAAAAAATGAAGAAATTTCACCCACCTTCTCGTCCACCGAGGCACTTGTAAACCCGCAGCACTAACGAAACGCACGACAAATCACTTTAAAAAAAAAAAAAAAAAAAAAAAAAAAAAAGAAAAATGTAATCGCGGAAAAAACAGCCCATCGACGGATAACGCCTCGCGGCAGCGTCTGCCCTGCGACTGTTGGCCTCAGCAGCGCGTGCACGGGTCTCCTTTGAATATCGACCCTTTTAATACCACCAGCAAAGAGCCAATAAGGGGTGGGAGGCAACAACACCTGTATAAATACATCCACACCAGCTTACACGTACACGTACTGCGTAGGTATAACATGCATTACATGTTGTACATGCTCGAGCACTTACGCACCGGGTTATAGGTCTTTTTCGCCTTCGCCTTTAACTTGACTCCTATTGATGGCAACGCGCGGTTCATTCAGGGACACGCAGACAGTATTTAGCCGACCTTCGGACTTTTTCTACTTATGTATTATTGCTGCGGTTCCACGGTTATACATATATACATGCGACTCTCCACCATCGCTCTCACCATTTTATTGTATATAATAATAATTGCCATTTTTATGACTACTCTCATTATGTCAATTATTAATATTGTTGTTATTATTAGTACTTTTCACGTTATTGTTGCCATTATTATTATCATTATACTGTTATTACCATTGTTGATGTTGTTGTTATTGTTGTTGTTGACAATAGTGCAGGAGAATTTACAGCTGATGGAGACTTTTCTTTATAAAGTTTTTGGTTTGACTTATGCTTCCAATCGTAAAAAAACACTTAAAAAATCTAGACAAGCACGACAATATCCTTACTCAATTTACTAAGAAATTCAGTGATTCTTACGGTGCTTGTACATACAACCTCTTATTTGGTTCAATTTCTTAATCATGTATAATAATAACATGGAAATGCAATTCCTTTAAAGTTAATTATGTTTATTAAAATTATAATCGTTTTAAATGTTTTCCTACGAGCGCAGAAATGAGTGTAAAAGACAGTAGTATATCGTAGTGGCTCTTCCTTAGGACTACTATTTTGGTGGAGAAAATTGGTATATCAATACTCTATTAAATATGAATAAATGTCTATATGCACAATGGTATGCTGTAAAATTTTTTTTTCATAAAATAATTGTTATTCTATCCAGCGTTCGTTTATGGAATTTGAATGTTTGGCAGCAGTCATTGACTCGTTAAGTAATCCAGTGTTTCTGTAGATTTTCATTTCCTGTTTCAAGATTTCGTTTGTCACTCTGTGGGACAAAAACAAAATAATAAGGGTTAACTCGATAATTTCTGGATAAAAAAATGCCACAATAAGTATGTGTGTCTGCATGCCTATGAGGCCAAAAAAAGTTGTACATTATAAGTTTACGGACTAAATAGCATAAAAATGTTAAAAATTTGGTTTCTATTTATAAGTAATTTTTTTTTTAACTTAACCGAGAAACGTATTATTTTGTGAAAATGTTATTTGGGTTTGGCTATCTGAAAATTCGTTAATATATTTTTCATGGAATATTAGAAATTTGTCGACAACTTTGAGCTTTTGTAAAAAATGGCGTATCCGCAAAATTAATTACGTACATCAATATCATAGAGTATTCTTTTAAAGTACAATTTTTTTCCTTAAGAGCTGGAATATCATGAAAAATCAATTAGATATTCGTTTTTTTTTTTTTTTTTTTTTTTTTTTTTTTTTTTTTTTTTTTTTTTTTTTTTTTTTT